TGATCTAAGATTATCAAATAGAAATGACGCATTTTGTTCATCAAAATTGCCAACTAATTGCAATAAATTCAAATTTTCTGTCTCCAAATGAATCAGTTTTCAAATAAGATAAAGCGTATCTATGTGATTTTTGTTGATGAAACATTTTATACACTATTTGTAAATTCCATTGCGTAATATTTTAGCATATAATCGTATAAATGTGATTCTCTTGTTTAGACGACGTATCTGAATTGTGTGGCAAAGCTTAGATTCATTTTTGGAATGGAAGAAAGTGGTTACGAGTTTAAAAATGTGGCTAATCAATATTGGGCTACGATTGCAGGTAAAAACCGTTTTCTTACTTAGAATACATTTAAGCATATTTATTATTATTGTTCGAGCATAATTTTAGCGAATTTGATTATGTTGGGGCACGGATGTGTGGTATGTTGGTTCACTCCATCTATTCCGATTTTGATGTCTGAAAAAACACCATTGATAAGTGGTCCTCTTACAAATGACGAAATGTCTTGGCTGGGTTCGATAAATAATGTGGGTGCGCTGGGTGGAATTTTTACATTTGGATATATAACATCGTTTTTCGGCTGCAAACGTGCTATGATCTTTCTGGCACTTCCATCGATTGCCTTTTGGATTTTGATTTACTTTGGAAATACATATTATCATATTCTATTTGCACGATGTTTTGCCGGTTTTGTCGGGGGAGGTATACAAACGGTATTGATCCTCTTTGTGTCTGAAATTTCGAACGACAAGTAAGGGTTTCGTTGCCCTACTTTGATAAATGTCATGCTCTTGAATTATTACCCATTTTTAGCATACGAGGTCGTCTCAGCTCATTTACTACACTGTCACGCAACGTTGGCGTTCTGATTATATTCACAGTTGGCGCATATGTTGACTATCACATCGTCCCCTGCATTTTGATTTTTCTGCCCATTTTGTATTTGATTTGTTTCACTGCATTACCAAACACACCACAATTTTATCTACAGAAAGGCAACATGCAGGTAATTCAATAGATTTTTTTTTTACTGCAATCAGTGCATAGAGGAAAACTTTTAAGCTACAAAGCCATAGACGTACGTACTAATGAACGGAATTTAAATTTAAATCCAGGCAGCCGAAAATTCGCTCAGATTTTATAAAGGCTTCAAAGCAGAAAATCAACTGGAAATAAATGCATTCAATAAGGAATTTGAGAGACTAAAATCATTGGCAAATAAACAAAAAGAGGATAAAAAAGTGCATCTAAGTGACTTTTGTAAGCTAAATTCTGATATTTTGGGCTAAAGTCTATTCCACCAAATAAATTCATTATTTCTTCAATTTTAGTTGAGGCAAAGGCAATGAAGGGACTTTTCATCGGTATAACTTTGGCATGGTTATCGCAATTTCCCGGAAGCATTACTTTTTTGAATTATGCAGTTTTAATTTTTGAAAAATCGGGCCCATCAAAAATAGATCCATACACATCGTCAATAATATCGGCAATAGCTCAAATAATTGGTTGCTTTTTCTCTGCAAAACTAGCAGATTCACTGGGTCGAAAATTGTTAATGATTATTTCATTTCTTGGATCGGCTACTGGATTATTTGTTTATGCATTATACTTGTATCTCATTCAAAATGGCTATAGTTTATCGTCTTTTTCATGGTTACCAGTCACATCCGTATCTTTTATCATGTTTATCTCATCAGCTGGCATTTACACATTATACTCTGTTTGTTTTATCGAATACTTACCATCAAAGGTTTGTTTACCGTCTTAATCACAATCTAATCCTCATATCGCTTGAAATTGGATTAAAAATATTTTTTTTTTTGCACAGATTCGAACAATTGGACTCACAATTTGCGTTTTATCCATGTACATTTCGGCATTTATATTTGTCAAAATGTTTCCAATTATTCTCACATTGATTGACCTCTATGGATGTATGATCATTCTAATGGTAGGTTGTGTGGTTGCAGCATTTTTTGTGATATTTGTTCTGGACGAAACAAAAGGACAAACTCTAGATACGATCCAATCAACTGAAAAGAAATAATTGAACTTTAAACATGAAAAATCCATTTTAAATGACTTTGAACTTCACAAAGTAATACACTTAATTTTATTGCGACTCAATAGCATAGAATTTGACTAAAGTTGGAATTGGTTTGCCTGCACTTATGAGCAATTAAGGTCTATTAAATATTTTAATTTGTAAAAATTGATTTGAGTCACTAGACTAGATAGATAATGAATAGTAAACGCCTGTTAAAACGCCAATGTAATTAGATTTGTTAAGTATAATGCATAGAAGACACACCGGGAATCTCTTATATACACTGCGAATATAGTCTATATATAATGATGAAATAAAACATGAAACTCAAAAATCGTCAACTCATCATAGATATAAATCTTCGCAATTGAAATGTAAAGCGTGAGTAGAAGGACAAATATTTAAATTCGAACAAAATATCGTAAGATAGATATAATAAAAAAGTGGTCAACTCAAGTACTGTTGTTTGGTTTCGGGCATTCTTGTTTATTTTGTGATTTTTTTCCTTCGTAAATATCCGATATTTAAATCAGTTTGTACATTCAATTTGGAAGAAAACAACGAAATTCACTGGCGATAGAAAATTTGCCTCAAATACGTTATCATTATTCTTGGTGTTGATAAAATTAAAGCTGTCAACAGGTCATACACGTGCAAATTGTGTTCAGACTATAGACTTTATCCTACTTGATGCAGCTGGATATGACAGAGTAAATTAAAATGTGGATGAATGTTTGTGTGCAAACACGGCTGAAAAAACAATATAAAAACGAATTAACCGCAGTCGCGATCGGACGTTCGATTACAACACATGTTCTCCGCATTAAAGAGACCGTGATTTTTATTTTCAGTTTTTACAATCACAAATGCGTAATTCATTTCCTATTATAAATGAGTAATTAATGTCATACATTTTTGTTAACTTGATTTAGATCTCGGTGTGATTAAATTGTGAGTTTTTTTTGTATTATTACACTATGGAAAATAATGAATTTAAATGGCGCAATGAGCACCAGTATTATGCAGCTGTAGCAGGTATTTCGGTGTTAAATTTCTTTATTGTGAAACGGTCATGCAATACGTTATACTTTATGTGATTTGTTGCCAGGCAATCTGATAATGCTTGGACATGGATGCGTTACCGGTAATTATTAATTAATTCATTTATAAAAAATTCAAAAAAAAAAATTAAAAAATAATTCTTATAATAAAAAAAATAGGTTGGTTTAGTCCAGGTAAAGATTTATCTTAATTGACTTCCTTATTATCAAACGATTAATGGTTTTCACCAAAGCATTGCCAAAGCTTTTATCTGAAAATACGCCGCTTGTTCATTCGGGACCATTGAGCAGTGAACAGGTATAAAAAAAAATTATCTGAATAAAGTTGTCGTCAACAAAATCTAATTTATCGCGTAACAATTATCATAGAGACTAACAGAGAGAATTGGTTTACGTTTTTTTTCTAACCAAAAGATAGCGCCATCAAATGTAGATACTTTGATCTAAGATTATCAAATAGAAATGACGCATTTTGTTCATCAAAATTGCCAACTAATTGCAATAAATTCAAATTTTCTGTCTCCAAATGAATCAGTTTTCAAATAAGATAAAGCGTATCTATGTGATTTTTGTTGATGAAACATTTTATACACTATTTGTAAATTCCATTGCGTAATATTTTAGCATATAATCGTATAAATGTGATTCTCTTGTTTAGACGACGTATCTGAATTGTGTGGCAAAGCTTAGATTCATTTTTGGAATGGAAGAAAGTGGTTACGAGTTTAAAAATGTGGCTAATCAATATTGGGCTACGATTGCAGGTAAAAACCGTTTTCTTACTTAGAATACATTTAAGCATATTTATTATTATTGTTCGAGCATAATTTTAGCGAATTTGATTATGTTGGGGCACGGATGTGTGGTATGTTGGTTCACTCCATCTATTCCGATTTTGATGTCTGAAAAAACACCATTGATAAGTGGTCCTCTTACAAATGACGAAATGTCTTGGCTGGGTTCGATAAATAATGTGGGTGCGCTGGGTGGAATTTTTACATTTGGATATATAACATCGTTTTTCGGCTGCAAACGTGCTATGATCTTTCTGGCACTTCCATCGATTGCCTTTTGGATTTTGATTTACTTTGGAAATACATATTATCATATTCTATTTGCACGATGTTTTGCCGGTTTTGTCGGGGGAGGTATACAAACGGTATTGATCCTCTTTGTGTCTGAAATTTCGAACGACAAGTAAGGGTTTCGTTGCCCTACTTTGATAAATGTCATGCTCTTGAATTATTACCCATTTTTAGCATACGAGGTCGTCTCAGCTCATTTACTACACTGTCACGCAACGTTGGCGTTCTGATTATATTCACAGTTGGCGCATATGTTGACTATCACATCGTCCCCTGCATTTTGATTTTTCTGCCCATTTTGTATTTGATTTGTTTCACTGCATTACCAAACACACCACAATTTTATCTACAGAAAGGCAACATGCAGGTAATTCAATAGATTTTTTTTTTACTGCAATCAGTGCATAGAGGAAAACTTTTAAGCTACAAAGCCATAGACGTACGTACTAATGAACGGAATTTAAATTTAAATCCAGGCAGCCGAAAATTCGCTCAGATTTTATAAAGGCTTCAAAGCAGAAAATCAACTGGAAATAAATGCATTCAATAAGGAATTTGAGAGACTAAAATCATTGGCAAATAAACAAAAAGAGGATAAAAAAGTGCATCTAAGTGACTTTTGTAAGCTAAATTCTGATATTTTGGGCTAAAGTCTATTCCACCAAATAAATTCATTATTTCTTCAATTTTAGTTGAGGCAAAGGCAATGAAGGGACTTTTCATCGGTATAACTTTGGCATGGTTATCGCAATTTCCCGGAAGCATTACTTTTTTGAATTATGCAGTTTTAATTTTTGAAAAATCGGGCCCATCAAAAATAGATCCATACACATCGTCAATAATATCGGCAATAGCTCAAATAATTGGTTGCTTTTTCTCTGCAAAACTAGCAGATTCACTGGGTCGAAAATTGTTAATGATTATTTCATTTCTTGGATCGGCTACTGGATTATTTGTTTATGCATTATACTTGTATCTCATTCAAAATGGCTATAGTTTATCGTCTTTTTCATGGTTACCAGTCACATCCGTATCTTTTATCATGTTTATCTCATCAGCTGGCATTTACACATTATACTCTGTTTGTTTTATCGAATACTTACCATCAAAGGTTTGTTTACCGTCTTAATCACAATCTAATC